GACTTAGCTGAATGATGAGTCAAGCGAGAATGAGTTTTAGTTGATAGAACTAGAGATAATAGCTTGTTTGAGCAGCGACTATGATATTTGTAGGAAAGAAAAAGAGATTCAACTTTACAACGCTGGAAAGAGGCTTAAGCTTAGTAGATAGAGTGGATATAACTACGTTTTCAATGCGTTTTTTAACCTTGTCTAGAAGAGAAAGAGCATCATTAGAAGAATCTGCCCAAGTATGACAACAGTATTTCATACAGGGATAAATAAGAGATTTATAGAGGTAGACAATGGAATCAGGAAACAGAAAATAAGGAGCTCAATAAAGAGAAGTAACCTTAGCAGAAGCTAATTTAGAAATCCATTGTATATATGGTTTCCATGAAAGGTGATTATTTAACGCTAATCCAAGAAGGCGTAAAGAAGAGGACTAAATGAGAGGGTTGCCATTCATTAATATAGGAATGTCAACAGTACTACAATAGTTGTTTGCAGTAAATAACTGAGTTTTGTTGGAGTTCAAATTCACATGTCATTTTGACCACCAATCTGGTTACAGAAGTAGCATCAGATTCAAGATCGGCTGACTTTTCTTAGCGATTGATAAGAGAAGACTTTTTATCATGACAGGAGTATAAAGTTGAGTCATCAGCAAGAAGAGATACTTTAGATGTAAGGTTGTCGGGAAGATCATTAATGTGTATATAGGTAAGAAAAAAAAACAGAGTCAAGGATAGAACCTTAAGGTAACCTAAAAACTCTGGAAATAAAGAAGAATGTTGTCCTTCGAGGATGACTTTAATAAAGCAGTTAGAAAAAAATAGTTTGATAATCTCAAAAACTTTTCCAGATACACCATATCAAACTAATTAATAGAGATCACTAGCATGTCAATATTTGTCGAAAGCCTTAGATATGTAAAGAGCGATAGCCCTAGGATGGAATGCAAAAAGCAAACTTGAGTCAAGTTTAAATTGAACTTTACTTTGTAACCAATAGCGGCAGATTATTTTATGAGAGGAAAACCCATACTCTATCGCTTTATGGTTGCAATGTAAAACTCAAGTCGAGCTTGACTCAAGTTCGCTTCTTGCATTCCACCCCTAGTTTCTCAGCCTTCACCTAATGCACAATAAAATCTTTCAGCTCCAGCAGTTAGCAAGTCATCCATAGTGCAATAAGATCGAAAACCGTATTGATTGTCTAACAGTAAGTTATTTGACTCAAGATAGGATGTGAAAAATTTATTGATCAAAAACTCAAAGACTTTATTAATAACAGAAAAAAGACTGATCTGACAATAACTGAAGCAAAGGATCCAATATTGAGAAAAAACGGAGTTGAGAGAAATCGAAAAAAAACTCCGTCGGAGCCGAGAAAAAATCGATACAGTTATAATAATAAATAAGTTCCGATACAGTAATAATAATAAATTTTGATAATCTAGTTGGTAGTTAAACATTGTTCTTGTATGTTTTATTTTTATTTGATATATTTCGATTTATAATTTATTATTAATTTTTAAAAAATTTTTTTATTTCTTACTACTTTTTTATCACAATTTTTTAACGAACAAGTTTTGTCTAATAAATGGCTTTCTAACTTTCAGTTAAATGCCTATCCACGGTGCTCTGTAATAAACACATGCGATAAGTTATCACATTAAAAATCATTAATTAAGTTATTTAATCCAATAGGTGAGTATAAACATTGATTATTATCACTTGTTATCAATGATAACATTTTATTACACAATTTTGCCACAATACACAGTGGGCCAGATATTAGAGTTATAGTGGACAAAATATCTTGTTCATACGGTATACGACACTACTTGTACAAAATAAAATTATTATATGTTTAAAACTTTCCTTGTTATTTTAAGACCGATTCTTGTATATTTATCACAAGTGTATTCTGCTTTAAACTGCAGTAAATTATTTGTGTGTGTGTGTGTGTGTGTGTGTGTGTGTGTGTGTGTGTGTGTGTGTGTGTGTGTGTGTGTGTGTGTGTGTGTGTGATCCTATATTTCTTAACTATTTAAAAGTTAGGAAACATTAAAAATATGACTATTGTCAGAAGCAGGTAACATTTTTGATGAAAAAAGATTTTGTTTGTTGCCCAAAACTGGATAGCAACTCTTTTTGCACCATAATATCTCTAAACTTTCAGAAATCTTTACATAAGTGATCGATAAAATTAGGAAAAGCTTCAGATATGTGGTTTAAAATAATTTTATTTTATCGCTTGTTGCGCTTTCTAGTGGAGACATGCTCATAGTTACCACTTTATAATATAAACATAAAGAATATTTATTAGCTTCAGTACATACACTAATTATCTCATAGCCTTCTTCTACAATGAAGTACTGCTACATTGACAATCTTTTTCTTTTATTATTTCAATTAAAATTTCTAATGTTTAAAAAATCTCCACTAACGAGAGTGCAACAAGCAAAAAAATAAAATTATTTTAGAGCGCTAAACTGTCTCTTTAACTAAAATTATATTGTATTCGTTAAGAATTTTGTATTTTTTACCTTTTTTTTTTTTTATATATATTTCGCTGTTTATATATAAATAAGATAAAATTACAATGAAACTTTTACATTAAACAAAGAATATAAATAAAAAAGACAGAGGCTCAATGAAGATAAGGATGAATGGTGTCACCACAATCTTTTCATAGAGCCTCTTTACAATATCATTTAAAGCCCACATGGCTTTAGAAAATTATATAAATTATATTTATGGGTATATGTACATATACTCATATGTACATATACCCATAAAAACACACACATATTCAAACATACTTACATATATGTCAGAAATTAAGGAGATTCAGTTTCATTTGTCGTTTAAAAGAGAAAACGCTTTTCAAATTTTTTATATAGTTATTTTTTAATTGATTCCATAATGACGGGCCTTGGCTAATAATTGAGAATTTCGACACTTGCAATTTTACTATGCTCAAGTGATTGTTATGGTTGTTATTTGACCGAAGATTGTATTTTTGTGAAAATGCTGGTGTAAAAATATCAGAAAACACTTTTGGCAGCAAGTTATTCTTATATTTATACATAAATATTACTATTTGAAGCAAATTAAGTTTTAATATATTTAAAACATTCATGTATTTCATTACAGGGGAAGGGTTTTCTAAACTCTTTAAATAGTTAACTGCTTTATATGCGTGGTTTTGTAGGCTCTGTAATCTTAATAACTTAGTTTTGTGTGTGTTAGCCCATAAAATAGAAGCGTAAGAGAGATGACAATGAACAAGACTGAAGTAATGCATTTTGCGTGATTTATTATCAAGAAAGGCCCTAGATTTATATAATACACTTATGGCAGAAGATATTTTTGCTTCAATGAGACTAATATGTTTTTCCATGATAGGTTCTCGTCAAATACCTAGGTCAAATACCATCATACCTAGGTTTACCCAAAGTTCTTTATTGCCCTGTAAGACAATGATTTTTTGATTTAATTTTCATAGCCTGTGTCACATATCTTAAATAAATAAAGTAAAAAATAAATTCCGGCATTTCGGCCGGAAATATTGAAATTGCGACCGAAACCGGAATATCCTAAAAGTAAAAAAAATTTTTATGCCAGAATTCTGGTACATCCTTAGTTCTGGAAAACAATTTTGTAAGACTATAACAGACATGTTGTCTGGACCACAAGCCATAGAAGGTTTTTTCTTAAGATATGATTTTAACAACGGAAGCTGGAGTGATTTTACTACTTTTGTAAACAACGCTGTTGAAGATTTTTAAAAAAAACAACAAAGAAGATTTTTTAAAAGTCTCCAGAGCCTAACTTCTGTGAAAGTAGTTTATTGAAAAAAATTTAAAAGAATTATTTCGATTAAATATAGCAGCTGCACAAGAAGGGGGAAATCATGCAGTAGAGTGACGCCTGACTTGGAACCGACAAGAAGGAATAAAAGCTTTTATTTCTGCCTGAATCCAGGAGGTTACGTAGGAAGCGCATTTTTTAGCTGTGAGGGAAAAGACATCAACCCAAAGACCGTCACGTTGAAAGTCACGAAAATAGTCCCAGTCATCTTTAGGGTAGTAGTAAGTCGTGCGATGATAGGGTCCACAAAATAAGTACGAGATGAAAGATTTAATGGGATGATTGTTTGGTTAAATTCACCTAAAGGACAAAGGAGAAACTGAACATACACTAGAATCAAAATCAAGATATAAACCAAGGAATGAATGTAAATATTAATATAAAAAATAACCCATTTGGAAAAATATTACATCTAACAAAATACTACAGATAAAGGTTAGCATAGGTTTTATAGTTGGAATGTTTAGTTAGTTAATGAGCTTACACTGCATCAAAACAGGTTTAAACATTTAAATACCATGTCGAAGATTCAGAAAGAACATAAACTATCATATATAAAGAAACTTATGGGTGACCAAACACCGCGCCAAAGGTTCAGACAGAACACAAACATACATATAAACATAAACAGACAGAACACAAACATACATGTAAACATACACAGAAAGAACACAAACATACTGATAGGAATTTAAGGGTGATTTAACACCTCGCCAGAGATTCAGACAGAACAAAAACATATAGATAGCAGTTAAGTCAACACCGCGCCAGATGTTTAGACAGAACACAAAAATACATATAAAGTAGATTACAAGATAAGCTAAAACAGAAACTAAGGCACCTCTAACTATATAAAGACACACGCACAAATAATAATAATAAATATATTATTAATATATATTAATATAGATATGGCCAATTTTAAAAAGTACTGATGATTGAAAGCAAACTCCTTTCAGCCTTTGCTTAGAAAGTGAGTCTCACAAGGCAGCAGGAAATGTAACAGGTTACACTGGGTTACATTTTACCAGTAGTTTAATGTTAAAAATATAATATATATAATAAATAAATAAAAATATATATACACAGCCGGCGCTAGGCACTAGGCAGACTAGGCAGCTGCCTATAAAATATAAAAAATTTAACTAAAATTATAATTTTATAATAATTATAAAAATTATATATAACGATGAGAAATTTTCCATTTCCAGTAATTGAGCATAAACTGCAAGGCAAATTAGCGTATCACTCGCAGGCTTTAGGCAAAGGCAACATGTAGTGTTGTAATGTTATTAAATAGTGACTCCTGCTTCTTGTCTCTCGTCTGTGTTTATAATAATAAAATGAGAGATAATTAACAACTTGAGTTACGTTTTCCAAATAAAGTAAATATTTTCTTTTTAGATTATAAACACAACAAACAAAATTGTATATTATCCGTTCGCTGTTCTTCATGTTCATTCGATCGCCCGCATATTCAATCAGTTATTTCACATTCATTCGCTTGCGTTTGGTTAACGAGTACTAGATACTTCTTCTGTCTGTCTCTGATTCTTTGAATAAATGTCAATTTAACTCTTTCCCTCCGGAAGCCAAATCTAGACACATAATCTAGACACATAATTTGTTTTTTCTTAAAGTTTAATTAGTTCTCTACATAATCAAGTACAAGTATGAGCCATAATGTGTAACTATAATTAGTTATCACTTGACAAAGTTAAAAAATCTCAAGTAATCCTTGATAAAAAAAATTTCTTTAAATTTAGTTCGTAATTAGTAAAATAAAGCAGCATTAACACTGTAAAATTTAACTTGTAGAGGTTTTTTTTTTCAAGAAAAACGTTCTTTTTATACATTAAATAAGTTTTATTTCGGACTTTATGTTTTATTTATTTTATTTTTATTTTTTTATGTTACTATTTATAAAAACGATGGTTTAAGTACCTTGCATTTCTTACTGTTCAACGATGCGTGTTAAAAACTTATTTAATTAAAAAGTTCATTTGTTTATCTTTCAATTAATATATAGTTTGTAACAAACTATATATTAATTGAACAAAGCTAACAAATTGTTACGCTTTTAAAAAGATATACTATTCGAATTTTAATTAGTTTTTTATGTTATTTCATCCAAATTTTATTCAAAAAAACGTGCGGTCACAGCGAAAAGATTTTTGTTAAAACGGCGGTAGCGAAAGAGTTAAGTGTTGACTATTATATTTTATTTATAATAAGTATTTAACTGACAATATTCTTATCGATTGAAAAGGTAGTGTATTACTTCAATTCTACTATTGTACGCTAGCAAGTAATAAGTAAATATTTTATAATTACACATTTCTTACGTTTTTTAACCATGTCTGAGAAAAAGAGACTATCAGTAAAGAAAAATAAAGAAAGTCAAAGAAAAGCTATTTTGAAATATTTTCGTGCAGAAACACATTCTACGGGTACTAATTCTGCTACTGAAAGCGATAGCGGTGTGAGTAAAAAATCTAAAGTGATAGTTGACGAGAAAACTGTTAATAATGCTAATATTTCAAATCAACAAAATGAAGTTGTAAATATCAATGAAAACCAAATTTATCTACCTGAAGCAACTCCTGCTGTTAATATTTCAAGACAAATTGAAACTGAAACTCAAATTAGCATATTATCATCTGCAGACTACAGTGACCCTGCAAATTGGCCTACTCATTTTAGTGACAATATTCGGCAATTTGTTAAAAAAAATAGACCGCAACAAATTGAAAATTATAACTTTCCACGAGATCGAGATGAACAAAAAAGAAAACTTTCATCAATCTATTACAAGCGGACATTACCAAATGGAGAAGAAGTCTCTCGTTCTTGGCTTATATATTCAGTTTCAAAAAATGTAGTTTTTTGTTTATGTTGTAAATTATTTGGTAAAAGCAAAAGTAGTTTGCCGGCTTTAGAAGGTTGAGGTTTAAACGATTGGAAGAATATTGGAGCACTTCTTTCTTCATATGAAAAAAGTAATTCACATCTCGTAAATTTTCAAATGTGGAAAGAACTTGATATACGTTTATCTACAGAAAAAACCATTGATCATATTAACCAACAAAAAATTAATGAAAAAGAACAAAATTAGCAACGAATTTTAGAAAGATTAATTGCCTTAGTCAGAGTACTGGCTACGCAAAACTTGGCATTTCGTGGAACAAATGAAAAGCTTTACAATAACGTCAATGGTAATTTTTTAAAATTTGTTGAGTATCTCGCTTTATTTGACCCATTAATGAATGAACATGTACGGAAAATTAAAAATCAAGAAATTAAAACTGCTCATTATCTTGGAAAAGATCTTACCCTATATAGAGCAGTGGTAGCGCACTTGCCTCAGAAACGTAAGATCCGTGGTTCAAACCCCACCTCTGGGAAAGTTTTGCAATATTGGTTGGGAAGGAGGCGTAAACTTCCTATTAAATGCTCTTCCGCGGTGCACTGTGATAAGACCGTTAGGACTTCTTGGGGGATGATAAGACCGTAAAGACTTCTTTCACTCTAAAAAAACTGTCAACTTAGGGGTCGTTTACAAACAACGTCACTAAATTTTCAACTAATTGAGACCCCTCCCCTCTCCTTGCCCCAATATCGTAACACTATAGTAACATGTTACGTATGAGTTGTCAATAAACCACCAACATCTCCCTCCCCCCTCCCCTATTCCCACAGCGTGACATAATTTATGGGACCCCTAATTTCTATTACTGTGCTTTAAAACTTAGTTTATTACGGCTAATTTTGAAGCTGAGCATAAAGTTATCCTCTAAAGCATAAAATCAAGTAGTTTTGATTAATGGCTCTGCTAAAAAAAACCTTTAATTATTGATTAATTACTACAGGGTCGTTAACGAAAGATTTAAATCAATTCTGCCCAACAACGGTGCAAAAGAGTTATATCAATTCTACTCAACAACGTTAACTTAATTTTAATTAAAATATTTTGAAAAAGTGCCTTATTCTACTATAGATTCTAGCTCTAATCTGTTCTTATACTTATTGATCGAATATAATTGTTAAGACACAAAGTTTCTATCAATTTTTACAAAAAATGTTGGAATTCCGACCAAGAAAGAGCTTATAATTAAGAAAAATTGCCAATGAACGATCAAAACAATATTAATAAATGATGGTCTTTTCACCTAAGCAACCAATTTACTTAAAATCTTATTCTAATTTGGAAAAGCAAATGTAATTTTTAAAAGATTTTTTTTAAAAAAATAGATTTTTGGTTTTGGTTTTTTGCTACAAACCATATTATTTTATGTTACGGTAAAATTTGTCATTTTTGATTAATTTGCATCAAATCAAAGTGAACTGAGTAGAGATTTTACTTGGTTTCCAAGAAAAACATTCTACTTCACGTTTGGTTTTTTAAAATGAACGTATTTAACGAATAATCTATTACACGATCCATGGTAATTTCATAATTTCATTTTAGAAAAAACATATTCAGCATCTGAGAGGCTGCTTCTCCTGGTTGAACGCGACTAAAAACTTTTCTTTAAAGCTCTGGTTTCAAAAGTTTTTAGTCTGCTCAGACTACTAAATGACCATTTTACTGTACAAGTTGACATGGGCTGGACCATAATGATTTTAATAAAACAAGCAATTACCGAAGCGATGCTTCTAAATCCAATATTTGTTAATGGATCCGATCAAACTCTTCCGTTCTAAATTTACTTAAATAACAAGTGGTTTCAGTTAATTCAAATCTGTCAGTGAGGCCAACTAAAGCCGCATCTAAACTAGTAAAGTTTAACTGCTTGTAGATCTCATTTGGCTGGTAATAAGTATTCCTGGAGCCGACTTTTAATCTTGCAGGTATTTCTTACTCTCTGGGAAGAGCAAATTAGCCTAAATTCATCGTTTAAGCAAATTTAGTCGATGCTTCTAATATTGTTATGAAACGCCAGTTCGTACGCGAAAATCTTAAAATTTATTTAACATAAAACCTTAAAAAAAACATTGCTTTTCAGAATTAATAACCATTATGGAAATGGATAAAATTTTAAGGGTAGTTAACGAATTTTGAAAGGGGGTAAATTTGGCTTTAGGAGGACTACTGCAACCATTACACCTCATACTCTACGTAGAGGAAATACAAAATAAGAGTGACTAAGGCCAGAAAAAAAAAACCAATTCTGATTTGTTACACACGTGAAATTCAATGTTTTTAAAAAAATAAAATCTTGTTTAGGAGAGATAGTTCAACCGCATACGTACACACTGTCTTTAATACCCCCTCCCCCCTTGAAAGCGTTTTTGGGAAAACCCCCTCTTTGCATACCTACGTACATTATGGATGGCCCTAAGCGTTTAGCTTTATTTTTTTTTTTTCGACTAAAGTTTTATGCAACAATAGTTTTAAGAAGTTTTTTAGAATAATTTTGTGATAATTGTTATTTTTCAGAATAATTTGTGACAAAAAACAGGGATACCTTATAACCATTTTCCCAGAACTGATTAAAACTTTAATGAATAGATCCTAAAGCTTGTTCGCTCCAATACCCTAGCTATTCATTTCATAGAGCCAATTAATTTTTGTGTGGTTAGTATGTTACATGTCAAAGAAATTGTAATGGGTGACAAGTTTTCACCATTTAATGTTCACTTTTTTTTTCTACGCCAAAGACTGTTACCAGAATCAACACAAAAGTTTTAACCGTATGGAAAGATAATTTGAAGGTTTTTCCTTAAATTAAGATGATAAATTAAAATTTTTTCTTTTTGAAAAAATAATGGAGTAGAGGTTTTAATAACATCTAAATATGAGGAAAAAGTATGCTTATTAAATTTTTTTGGCATAAACTTCATCGTTAAATGATCTTCCTCTGTGCACTATTACTAGACCATTAAATCCTTTTGAAGCACAACGAACTGATACAAACATATATTAATTTTTCTATTTATACAGTTTAATTTGTGTTAGATAATCATCATATTTTTCGCTTTTTTGGGAGAACTTTTTATCAAAATTTAAAAATTACAAAAATATATCACGATCAATTAGAATTAACTGTATATCCATAACGTTAGTTCCTGTTAATCCAGTTTTGAGCAGATAATTACCGCTGAGAATATCACTGAAAAATGAATACGAGTTACAATTTGATATAAATAAATCAACGTCAATATTTGATTCTAAAACAAACTTAATTATTTCAGCATCGCAAATTGCACCAGCTGCGTCAGTAGGGCCATCTTGACCGTCGGAACCCGCACTTAAAAAACACATTTTATCGATATTAACTCCATTATTTTCAGCATACAAACGAGATATTTGAGAAAGAAATGCTAGTGTCAAATGTTGGTTACGCCCTCCTTTTCCATCTCCTGTAACTTTTACTGTTGTTTCACCTGCAGTAATCAAACATAACCGTTTACAGGATTCCAGCACATGAGAAGAAAGATCGTTTGATGGAAAGTTGATGAATTTTGAAAAGATTTCTTCGCAAGGTTTGCAAGAAAGAAAAGCAAAAACAATGTCCGCTAAAGCGCGACCTGTTTGCTCAGCATCGGCTTCAACATCAGTTGAAATTATTACTGGCTCGTAGTTTAATGATATTGCAGCATTAGCAGCACTTTGGGCAAGTTTTTTATTTGATCCTATGATTACATTATGACACATTCTTGATAAATTTGACTTTTTATCAGATTTTTGAAGAAATTGTAAAACAGATTCTGGGATAACAGCGTTTTTTAGATTAAGTTCATCAAAAATTTTAAAACAATCCATTTTTGATGAACCGTCATAAACTGTTGGACCCGAAGCAATTAAGTCTATTGGATCGTTTACAATATCTGATATAATTAAAGAAAGCACATTTGTTGCAGAACACAAACCAATAAGTTTCCCTCCTTTAAGTGACGATAAATTTTTACGAATTATATTCAACTGCTTTATATTGCCACCACTTTTGGCAACTAAATTGATAACTCCCAATTTATCGTCAAGTGATACCCCTGGTACCAAAGATGGAAGTAATGCACTACCGCCTCCAGATATAAGTAAAATCAAAAAATCGTCAGGCAATAATGATTTGACTAAAGCAGATATTTCAGCTGCATTATATAGTGCATCTTGATCGGGAAGGTTGTTCTTTGCTCCAACTAGAATACGAACATTTGAATTTGTCATAACCTCAGGTGATAATCGTTGAGAGAATTCATGTGGGACGCTAAGAATGCATTTTACAATGTGATCATTAATAAGGGGATATAATCCGCCAAACATTCCTGTAAAACAGAAAATATCATTAAACATAGCGCAAAGAAGCTAAAACCTTATACAATTTAGACGATATTTGGTCTTTCGGCGGAAAAATTAGTTTTAATAATGAAGTCGAAAAAATTTGATTTAAATAGTTTTAAAGACGGGCGTACTAAAATCTTTTTATTAAAAGAAGTAAATCATAAATTAATAATTAGATTAAAAGCTTACACTAAAATAATTTTTAATTTTTTATTTTAATGCAACAGTGAATAACAAAAACTTGACTTGAACTAAATTTAATTTTTTTCAGAGCAGCTAAACAATAAATGAATACCCACGAACTTCGCGCAAAAAAGTCAGACATCGTCTATGTACAATTAATAACTTTAAGACATGTTGCACAACATCGCACTGTTATAAAAAAAAAAGAAAGACAAACAAAATTTATACCACATGTAAAGGTTATTCATGTAAAAAAATTATATTTTCAAACTTACTATACACAGCTTTTCCAAACCCAACCACGTAGACATTTTTGTTTAAAACGTACTCTTTATTGTCACATTTTAGACTATCTCCTATTCGGTGTACAGCTGATTTAACAAGTTGTTCCGGTGCCACATTTTCCAAAGACGAATAAAGTATAGTATAAAGATCTTTCTTCAACATCTGATTATTGTTATTTTAATTCTATTAAACACTAAAGGCCACGTATAAATGCAAATTCTGTTAAAATAAAATCTTACTAGTAATCTTACTATATTTTAGCAATTAAAATAAACACAAAAACGAATCAGTTTATAAAAAAAAAAATTTAACAAAGTGCTTATTACTCGACAAAAAAATATGAGAATATTGTCATTTTCTTCGATTATCATATAAATTATATACAAAATTAAAATAATTTAAAACTATATACAACTTTATTAACTGAGTAAAATAATTTACTTTTACAATAGATGTGCAAATCTGAAATAATATTATAATTAACAGCAGCAGGAACAATAACAGTAAAAATATATTTTCCAAGTTCCTTTTAATCTAAAAATCCGTAAAGATTTTAATAAATTCTTCTTTTTTGTTAAAACCATTTTTAATGATAACAAATTTGGCTATAAAATATTTACTTTTTTAACTATTTTATGTAAAATTGATATATATCAATCTCGTTAAATTACGTTGCATTAAAACACCGTGGATTAAAAGCTTTAAAACTGCTTCAAACTTTGAACAGCTTTTCAGTAATGGTAAAAATTTTTTAGTAATGGTAAAACTTTTTTAGTAATGGTAGAACTTTTAAATCTCTGAAAAATCAGTGTAACAAGAAATTTCGACACTTTTTTTTTACCAATTTATTTGTAAATCGTTTTATTTTGTAAGATAAAATTTTATGTTTAGATTTTCAAAAGTATTCAAAATTATTTTTCTTTAGTGCTAATGACAAAAGATTTTCTACAATTATTGATATCGGAAATGACATATTTCTAGATTAATAACTACTTATTGTAAGTAGTTTTAAATTTACCAAGTCATAAATTTTAAAATCAAAAAGTATATTTAATACTGTTTAGGTATCGGTATACCAATCTTGGTTTTGAAAAATAAAACATTTTAAAATGGTATTGATGCTCAATGCGCAACGAAGTATAATATTAATATAATTATAAATTAAAACATAACTTTTTTTTTTAAACTTAACAATTTTTAATTTATATTTATTTTCATTTGATTAAGCATTTTGACGTTTGACCAAACATAAGAGAAGAAGACAAGATCGGAAAATCAACCTATTGTTAGAACTTAAGATTATTAAAAAAAAAGCAGGCTGATTTAGAAAAACGAGGACCTTTTTTACAATCACCTTACTATTTCATGGCAATTTATAAGAACCACCTAGGGGTAAAGTACTGAATATTCCTATTCATGTAATAAGCAACTTGGACTGTTAGGGACAACAGAGACAGTTAATGGTTTTAACAAAAAAAATTAAGTGGTACTCATTTATTTATTCTACTCAACTTAAAATCTTTTATAAGATTCCACAAAAGCTCATAGTCAAATTCAAATTACCAACAACTAAAACAATTTAAATCGCCGAAAAATCCAAACTGAATTAATATGGCGAATCAAAAAAGTGGAAACAATCCATCTTTATTCAACTGTATTCTATAAGAAAAAAAAAACGATTTATTTGAAATATAACAATGAAGTAGCTAAAATAGTTATCTAGTAAAAGTAAAACACTATTGTCTGTTCAAAGTACTTTATAGTTACAAAGTAAAAAGTGCTTTTGCGGGTTGCAAAAGTGAATACATCCAAGATAATCATACTCTCGAGTTCTTAATACAAGGAGGAGGTGGAGGGGAAAGGGGGTATAATTTTAGGGTAGGTGAAAATTTTAGTGCCAATCAAATAAATGGGGGTTTTAATAAAAGGAAGGGGAGGAGGAGGGAATTTTTTTATTCTAAAATATAAGTTTTTATAAAATCTCAATTTATAAATAGAAACTAATATTTTTTTTACAAAACACGGTAAAAATGCGCATTTTATAACAGCCGTTTTATCATAATTTCAATAGGATTTAATTACTGATATAGGTTTTATACTTTGGTGAGAAATAAACCAAAAGCTCATTTTCGTCAAATCAAAATTTAATAGTTTTAAACCCATCGATTTTTAAAGCCTGTTTAAGTTTTAGTTTTTATGAGTGACTGAAAGAATTATTTTCTAATTTTAAAAATCGATTTCACTGATTTTCTTTTTTTTTGATTTTAAGATATAAAGATTTTGTAGACAACAAGAAAAAATTAATAAACGTGAAGGGTTTTTAATAAGTTTGAGGTGGGTGGGAAAACTTTCCAAAAATAAATAAACGTCCATCCTCCCTTTTTATTAAAGACTCGAGAGTACAAGAAATAAGTTTTTAAACCATCTTGGAATAAAAATTATAAAACAATCATGTTTATTGAAACAGATTAGCAGGTTTACACAAGATTAAGAGGATTTATGTAAACTTGATTTCTTGGCAATTACGTAAGTTGTGTTTTATTTAGGACATTTACACTTTTTTAGCCAGCTGCTATTGCTGTTGAATCTTTTTCTCCAGGAATTCAAGATCAAATCTTTTTAGTTCGTTGTTTTTGATCCAAACTTTCTTAAATTTTTGATGAACAACTGCTTCATAATGTACTAATTGAATCTGCTATTTATGACAACATCCATGCTTAACACCATTAGCTTTCAGCAATCTATGGGGCTGTTGCGAAGTAGAAACTGCGTTTTCTTTTTTAATGTCATTATAGCTGATATTCCATGCAGAACTTTGTTTCACACTGCAGGATATCTAACATTTGAACAAGAAGCTTTAAAACAGAGTTATACTTTGCATAAATGCTTTAGCGTTATCAATTATCAGCTTGTTCATGCGTTCCACAGACATATAGATTGAATTCTACTTGGTCTAATTAGAAACAACAACTGAAGTTATCATGAAACTAATGATTTATTAATAACTTCTGTAGGTTTATTACTTTGTGAATGTTTGTTTCATAACGCCTGACATTTTGTTGACGTTGATCGACTAATCTTTTTAAAAGCTGCATCATAGTCAACAATTAAGTAAGATAGCGGGTTTGGTTTCGTGATATTGTGCGTATTATACAACTTATTTGAACCAATAAATACTTTTTAAATACTTTTATACATTTTTTTTTAAAAGTAACTTTTTCATAAAAAAATAACAAAAGGCTTTCTATTTTACTTACAAAGTTAAAAAGCCAAAAGTAACAAAAAGTAAAAATAAAAGTACTGCGTTGTAACTCGTTGTATGGAGTTCTGCAAAAAGTAACGAAGTATTGTAACAAAGTAAATATACTTTGAAGTAAGAAGTAAATCTATCCCAATCCTGATTATTGCATGAAGTGCGCTGCAGCGTTGCATATGAGCGATGTCATAATAGAAATTAATTGTTGAAATACTATCAACAAATAGAGTAAAAGTACCGCAAACCGGACACTCTTCACAAAGAGCTAGATAACTTTTTCAATTTTGAGAATTGATAGGATTTTGTTTTCTGGAATATAGTTGTTTATTAAAGCAATTCAGCAATGTAAAAGAAAAAAAAAATTAATTTCAAGTTTCTACGGAAAATGAGATTTTATTTTTTGGAAAATAAGATTTTATTTTTTGGAAAAGAAAAAAGTGTCCGCATTTTGGAAAATTGTACCTAAAAGCGAACAGTTCCAAATTAAATGAAAAAAACATAGATAAATTTATAAATTCAATATTTTTGTTTTTATTGTTAAAATATACACATGATAATAATACAAGCAGAAAAAACTGACAAAAGAAAAAATCAACATATGTTTGTTTTAATAACTTCGCGTCTTCTTCTCTTAACTTGTTTAACCATGCTTCTTATGTAAAAGGTTGACCACCCACTGTTCTAACACTTTTGGCTTTTTTTGCAGGATGTTTGTAGGCGTTTTAGAATTGAAATTGCTTTAAGAGAGCTCTTTTAAGACTGTTTTTTACACGAGTCACCGATTCTTCTTGAAAAGTTTAATTTAAAGTTGAAATTTAAGTTGGAGTTGCTGGCGGAATTAAGTTGATTTTGGTATGCGGTACAATTGAGTTGCGCCTCTTAAGCTTAACTCGCCATTTTCAATCTTATTCAATGCGTTTTTTATTGTCTCCTCAGTGTAAGGCTTCTGATTTGTTTTATTTTTTGCCATTTTTAAGTTTAGTAAATTCAATTCAGTTACAGATTTTTGAAACTAAAGAAGCGATGTACTTTTTAGAGTGCAAAAGTACACAAAGTAACCACACTTTGTGTACTTTTGCACTCTAACTATAACAGTATAAGTACAAATGGACAAAATTAGATAACACAAAAGTGAAAACTTAAAAAAACCAAATGAAAGAAATTCTTTCAAATTGAAAAAATAACAAAATAACAAAAATAATAAACAAAATAACAAAAATAATAAACAAAAATAATAATAAACATAACCTATTAAATTTTAATTTATTATAGGGTGGATTTATAGTGCCCGGTTTAAGGTGAAAACTGAAGAAAATCTTATTTCCGTCATAACTTTTTAACAGAGTAAGATTATAAAATTCTAAAACTATTTTTGAAATTAGCAGAAAATTTCCAACAAAATAGCTTCCTTTGTTTTTAAATTGCCTTTTTAAATCTTTCATGCTAAGAACCTAATTTCCAAAAAAAAGATTGATTTTTAGGGTTAGATTTTGTTTGAACTTAAATATCTTATTAAGCTAATCGTCTGAATAGTTTTTTTTTTTGTAATTTTATAATTTTCCACACACTAAAAATTAAAAAACTTTGCAAACATCTTTATTTTTAGTGAAAATGTTTAGTTTTTTCGATCAGTGTCCGCTTTTGCGCACTGACCGGTTTGTGGTACTTTTACTCTACTGCAAAACTAAAAAAGAACAAAAATAACCTTTTTTTTTTTAAAAACATTTTACTTCAAGGGGAAAAAAAACTTTAATTTTAACTTAAAAGGGATTTTAAGTTAAAGTAATTTAAACTTCTTATTTTCAACTAGTTTTTTAAATAGTTTAACATGAAACTTTTTTGTTAACCATACCCGAAAGTTTACCATTATTCTATCCAATTGTTGGTAATACAATTCAGCTCAACTGTTACTCCCGATTTCAATAGTTCAAAATAAATTATGCCACCACAAATCCCACCAAACGCAAA